AGATATGCCATGAACTGAAACCCGAATTGCTAAATTTAGGCTAAGGTAGCCAAGCAGTGACTCTAACCAGAACAGAGAATTTTTAGGTTTCACGAATGAATCAAAAATGAATTACTATGAATTGCAGAAAATCAACAAAGTAAAATTTAGGGCAAAATATCAAAAGTCAGTAAATCAGTTAAATGGGAGACATTTTCCAGATCCGCAAAAAATATGCAATTCCTCTGACAAAAAAGTCACTGAATAACCTAGTTTGGTAAATAAAACTCTTCATTTGTTAAAACAAACTGATCTACAGCCCCAGACCTTAGAGATCTCTGATGGTGATTTGCCCTGGGTGCAAAACAAAGCCAAGCAGCCATCAAGAAAAAGTGTTTTGGATAAGAAACTGGTTTAAACCACAAATAAAAAGCCAATTAGAACCTCTAATCTGCCTATTTCCTGTGCAAAAGCAGAGATTTTATCTTGATTATGTTTCCTGCTCAGGATAGCAACATGTTTACCCCAAGTATCTTCTTCTTCCATTCTATAAGTCTCTACCACCTCTGCTGGGAAGCTATTCCATGCATCTATATAAATCTTTCCATTTCAAAATATATATATATTTTCAAAATTTACAGGTTGAGCAACACTTGGGATGTACGTTCAGTAATTGTTGTAAAACAGACAGGATTAAGGTTTTAGGTAGATAGACCGACTAGATGGACTTTCATAAGGTACGTGATTTTCTTCGGGGTTTGTCACGGATCTTGTTCCGTGGTTTGGGGCTTTGATTTGTCTGAATTTTCAGTTCGTGTCTGTAAAGGGTTAACAGTTGGCATGAGTCGCACAATGGCCCGAGTTCCATGTGTTAATGTGCGGGAATCAGGACAAACAGGAAGCTCTCGGCGCTGCTACGATTCGGGAAGTTGGTGATGGGAGCGGGAGAGCCGGAAGCAGGTCAGGAAATTCCCGGTGCTTATCTGCACAGCGCAGGCTGGCTGTCCCTTCCACAATAACAATCCAGCTGGAGAGCTTCCCAGGGACATGCGGGAGAGGCGGCAGAGTACAGCGAATTTATTGAAGTATGGGGTATGGGATCTGAGTAAGAAGATGGAGTGAAATCTGATGGGGGGAACGCAGGACAGCGGCTTAAATTGGGGATACAGAGGGATATAAGGGTTATTTATCAAAGCCCTGTGATCTGCAAAGTGGTGAACGTGGCTCAATCCCATGTGATGTGCGTGATGAGTCCATCAGTTTCCATGGTGATTGCTACTCTTCTATATCTCAGTAACACTTTTTACATCATGACACCTTGATAAATCTCCTACATAGTGGTGAGAGACATGCGCACACCTAAGGGGTACAAGTGGGAAGGGAGACTCAAGGAATAAAAAAATGATTTATCCGAGTACTTAATCATGGTATTAATCCATTCATTATGTCTTATTCAGAAAGAGTCATCAATAAGCACGATTCCTAGTTTCATGTCATTATCGGTATAATTATAGCAATTAGGCACCAAGCTATGTGCAGGGTTATTTAGTAAAGTGAGAATTTTAGGTGAATTAAAATTTTAAGGCCAGACGAGTCAAACTGAAAGCGTAGATGAATTTCTCCAGTTTAGCTTTTTTTGGCCTTAAATTAAAAAATTTAATAAATAAATAAAAAAATTCACTTTCAAATCCTCACTTTAGTAAGTCACCCTGTTAGTGTGTAACACGCCACAAGTGTAGGTCTAAAACAGCGAATTATTTTTGTGCGCAAGACGAATTATGATGACATCCAAATTGATATTAATTATTTTTTCCAGCAGTATAAATCAATCAGAGCTGGTCTAATATATAAATGTCAGGAGTATACATTGGCCAGCCATCCAGCTGCTGTGCAGGACTACCACTCACATCACTCTTTGCCATGCCCGTACCTAGCCTTTGGAGGCTGAACCTGCAGGTTCCTACGACAGAATTTAATGTGGGGGGGTCATTCGGACTAGTTAACTATATTCTGAATCTGCTGTTCATCATTGGGAAAATGATGGGAGTTGTAATCCAAGAACAGCCAGAGGCTACACTTGTCCAGCCTTGTGCCCTGCGTTTCCCCATTTTGCTGTAGACTGAGCTGATGCCACCTGGAAGGACTCGTGACTTTGTAGGTCCCCTGAGATGTTACATGGCTAAGTGCTTCCCCCTTCTCCCCAGGTGCACGGCTCTCGCCTCCCCACAGGTGCATTACAAAGATGTTTTCGGAGTTTGTTTGGTTTTTCTTCCTGTTGACGAAGCCTTTTCCTGCTCACAATAGGAAGGGGGGCTTAACTGACCCCCCCACACATCCTGCCCCTTATGTGTGGTCCAAGCTCCCCCTTGAGAGAGAACCTGCAATTATTTTATTACTCTGTCCTGGAGATCTGTGTTGAAACAATGAGGTTTATTTCCTAAACATTGAATTGTAGCGAAGCGAGAACCAATTTGCAAAATTCAGGCAGAAATTGCCAAACTGTAAATATAACTGGACTGGATACTTATTCAAAAACAGCTATTTTTTACTAAATTTTGCAATTGAGTTTTTGGTTCAATAACATTTTTTATTTTATGGGATCACTCAGTGTGCACAAGATACTAATAACACATACAAAGGGAAGGTCATGTGGGGGGTACATTGACAGACAATGGGACCATTTTCCATATTCTTAATGCAATATGAAAGCATTTAGACCAGAGTTGGTTTACTATGGCAACGCTAGGTGTCTGAATCAAATTTGATGATCACCCAGCTTCAGATATAACAGAGTCCTGATTATTCCAGATCTTCCAGCAGTCCAGATTTTGGACACGCTCTCAAAATGGCAGAGTTCTCAAATTGGTTGATTTAGAATAATTTAGTTAAAATAGACTTTAGTTTAAAGGGCTACTTTAAGCACCAAAACAACTTTAGCTTAATGAAGCAGTTTATATGTATAGATCATGCCCTTTTAGTATCACTGCTCAATTCTCTTGTGTTTCTGTTTATGCAGCCTTGGCCTGTGACTCACACAGCTTTTTTGAAGAAAAAAAAAATCTCATTTTCAGATCTTACAGCACAGTGTGTTTACTTTAAACGTTTTTCCTCTCCTGTTCTGTTAATTAAAATGTAATCACACACAAGAGGTTCCTGCAGTCTCTAGCAAGCAATTAGCAAAGCAGGTGATAAGAAATGCTAGATTAAGCATCTTGTGCAATAAATGAAGTTTAAACATGAGATCTCTCTATGCAGGAAATTTATTGAAAATGTTTAAATATGGCAATCCCATTAAAGTATAGCAAATCAGGCAGCTATCTACTAAGCTACTGAAAGATAAAAGTTAATAAAAATAGCTTTTCTTAATTTAGATTTTTCATCTGTTTAGTAGATACCTCCCCTAATTGGTACCTTGTGTAGGATTGCCATATTTAAGGTTGCCAAATTAGGGAGCTGTTTAGCAGATAGCTCCCATATTTGGTCGCTAGTTTGACTGCAAGGGGGTGTTCCCAAATTAATTCACAGACGTGGCGATTTCTCTAGAAATCACCAGTTTTAGGAATTGGGGGACACGCAGATAACCCCTAAAGCACATTAGCAAGCTGAAGTTTATTGGGGGACCGTCAAGTTGCATGAAGAATTTTCAATGTTACGTCTTTCTTTCCACCTGTGTATCTGCGTGCTATACTGACGCAACTCATTATAGGGCTGGTATAAAAGTTATTCCAGGACTGATTTTTATTCACAGTGTAAGCTCACAATTGTACGGAAATTCTATGAACTATGAACCTAAAGGCCTATTATACCAAGATGGAAAAAATCTTTAATTCGGTTATGTATTCAAATCAGTCTAAAACTTGAAATTCACGTTGAATTACCAACAAGTTCCACCCTTTATTAATATGTTGCCAAGTATAAACTGAAATCAGGCATGGCCTATCAAGAACAGGCTGGGAACTCATAAAACGGACACTTTGGCAGTTATGAGCAGTAGAATCTATTTAAAAATGTTTTATGAACACAAAACAGTTGAACGATTTATATAAAAAAATAAAATAAAAAAAAAATAAAAAGTTAAGCCAGACCATTAAACTCTGCATTTGAGAACTGGATCCTGGCGATTTCTATATTAACCGTACAATTAAAGAATCAAAAGATTCATTCAGTGAGCAAGTTACCATGGGGCTCATTCACTAAACCTGCAAATGGTAAAAGTAGAAAATAGAATTGAAAAACATGTATGCCAAAAATTGCTAATTCAGAAAAAATACACCAAGCTGGCTCTTTTTGCGTTTAATTATTTTATTTAGGCTTATTTACTAAATCGGGATACATAACAAGTTTTATAAGAAAATTGCTGAGTTGGGAAAATTCTCCTTTTCAGCTAATATTTCCTAAAATTTTCAATTTCTTGTTGAATTATCTAGCAAATCCCTGTTTATTGAAAAAATCCCTTTGTATCGGTCCAGGAAATGGCACAACTGCCTCTTCAAAAGGAATGTTAAAATTTAGGTTAAAAAAAAGCACACAAAAAAAGGAAAAATTTAGTTTGGCTAACTTAGAATAAAAAAAAAAAAAATATTTCACTTTTAAATCCCAATTCAAGTAAGCCTACCTATGCTTCTATAAACTACGTCTATATTTCTGTTAACTAATTGGGGCTTATTAGCTAAACTTTAAATTAATGAGGATTGCATAATTGGATTACAGATTTCAGGCCCAAATATGGTCAAATTGGTCAATTGTAAATGTTAAGCGATTACTGGTTTAGAGAATAAGCCCCAGATAATTTGAGGATAGATACAAAGAACACTCTGATGGTTCCCATATTGTGTTACAGAGAGGACTTATTGCCTGGGGGATCTGCGCTCAGTCTTGCGTTAAATTGATAGCATGTTGCATGCTCCGTTTACCTAATAAAAGCTAATGTTTAATCGGCATATATAACTGTAGCACAAAGTTCATGTGCACTGTAAGAGCAGCCCTGTACAAAGCATCGGCCAATCAGGGCCTAGTGTCAGCACAGTGCAGGTGAGGGATAGGTATATCTGGGCAGACAGATCTTCACAACCCAGCTCTCTGCATTTATTCTGATACATAATGTCCATAGCTTACAACCCCAGCTTGCAATGTCAACTACCTATTATCCTGGCCCTTTTCCAAGGTGGTTTGCTGGTTGTGTTTATACTATACGTGGACTATGATGACCAGACCAGCAGTCTGCCTCTTTCCAACTCAACTTTACCAAAGGATAATCAGCTGTATGAGATCTTCCCGTTCTTTAAAGACATCAATGTAATGCTGTTTATTGGACTGGGCCTTATGCTCTCCTTCCTAAAGCTCTACAGTTTTGGAGGTGTTGCCTTTAACTTCTTAATAGCCAACTTCTCTATTCAGTGGTCTCTGGTCGTACAGGGTTTCTTTAACCACTATGAAGATGGGAGGATCAAATTGGGATTGGAGAACGTACTGAATGCGGAGTTTGCGGCAGTTACTGCAATGATTTCGGCAGGTGCCATACTAGGAAGAGTCAGCCCTATCCAACTTCTGATACTGTGTCTACTGGAGATACCGTTGTACGTAGTGAACGATTGGCTTATCCACAAATATTTCCACATCATCGATGTAGGAGGTACAGTTGCCATTCATGTTTTTTCATGCTACTTTGGTCTAGGTATTTCCCGGATTTTCTATCACCCTGAGCTAAGAGTAGGTCACACGAAAGAGACCACGACACCCAACTCTGACTTGCTATCTCTCGTTGGAACACTCTTTCTTTGGATCTTCTGGCCCAGTTTCAACTCAGTCGTGGCCAAAGCAGGAAATGCTCAGCATCGAGCCGTACTCAATACATTCCTCGCCCTCAGTGCAAGTACTCTCACCACCTTTGCTATGTCAAGTTTGTTGAGCAAAAAGGGACAGATAAGCTTGGTGCATCTACAAAATGCGACCTTGGCTGGTGGAGTGGCCATTGCAATATCTGCAGATATGATAATCACCCCAGGTGGAGCATTGGGTTTGGGTTGCCTTGCCTCAATATCTTGCATTTTGGGCTTCCAGTACTTATCCCCATTAATGGCCAGGAGGCTTAAGGTACAAGATCAATGTGGTATACACAACTTGCATGGGCTCCCAGGAATTATCGGAACCTTGGGAAGTATTATAGCCGTATTGTTCAGCCCTATTGATATTTCAGACCTGAGTCTCAATGATGACCTATATTACACCAATGGCTTGAAAGAAGGAAGTTCCGCCCTAGAGGCTCTGGGAAGCAATGGAACCTGGAACTCCAGAGACCAAGCTATGGGTCAGGCCGCAGCTCTTGGCGTTACATTCGGAATTTCCCTTTTGGGGGGTTATATGACAGGATTGCTCTTGAAAATCCCCTGTTTGGTCCACCCATCATACGAGTTTTACTTTGACGACCAACCATACTTCCAAATCAAAGATATCTCAGAGAACAATTGGAATTCAAAGGACAAACACGACAGAAATTTGTTGATGCCATTAAAAGAAGTTTAGATAAATGTACCACAATCTCCAAAATTTAAAGAATTTATTCTAAATGTTCACTTCTTAGATAATGCTTGCCAGATCCACCATGGTTTCATGGAAACATACGACTGGTTCAGAATGATGGGCAATGCATGAAATGGGCTGCCTGGAGCATGCATTATTCATTTGCTACAAAAGTAATATGAACTTGTCAAGGTTTCCGTTAGGGATCTCTCCTGCATATCAATAACGCATGCTGTAAGGTTCCATTTTTCATGATCCAGAACTAAAGTAAACATCTCCCTGTGTACAGACATAAAAGTTAGACTAATCTTCTTCCTGATAATTATATAGGTCATTTAAATAAGACAAAGTCTCTTGGGCTTCCGTCCATTCAAATTGCTCAGACAGCAGCTGATCCTGTCCATAGCTGTTGCACTTTTCACAGCTGAGTGTGAGTGAGACAAAAAGGGAGAGGTCGTAAAATGCGATGTTTAATTTACAGAAAACAATTTGCAGTTTTGTTACAGCAGGAGGAATACATAGAGAGGTGTGTTAGACTGAACTGATATGATCAGGATGCACAGCTAGAGATCTTCTTTTGGGACTGATAAAGTTTACAGTGTTTGATCACAGACTGGAGCATTTAACCCCTTAAGGACTCACCTTCTGAATAAAAGGGGATCATGACGGAATATTTCAATCATGTGTCCTTAAGGGGGTAAAGAGCAGTTGGTGGTTTATCCACTAAACAGTGAGTAGTTAACGAACATTTTTTTTCCCATGTATAAAGAATTGGGGGAGGAGAGGGAATTCAAATGGGTTTTGACGGAGATTGGTTTTCCAATTTGGTCTATTTTCATCTAGAACCACAACTTTAAAATGTTGCAATTCTGGTCTAAATGTTGAAATTCACTTTGTATTCCTGGCAGTTTTCCCTTTAGTAAGTAGCCGAGAGTGAGTGAAACGCTCACTTTAGTTATTAAACTGAAAGTGAATTTCAAATTTGAGGCCAAAACAGCTGACCTTGGGAAAAATATCAAACCAGGTATGCATCAAATTCAGCTACTTTTGCCTTCAATTAGAAATTCACTTTGAACTCCTGACAATTCTTACTTTAGTGACAAACTGAAGCAAGCCTCCCAACTCTGGCGTTCTGAGAATCGAGACGCCAGTGGGAGGGTGGTAAGGGGGCGACCGGTAATGCAATTGCATCACTGCCCATGGAGGCAGACAATCCCTAAACAGGAGCAGGTCCACCCAAGTTGATAATAGATCAGATTCACCCAGGCTGCCTGTCCATCATTTAAACCAGCGAATTGGACGCAGACCCTGCTGGGAGCACTATTTCAATGCTCCCTGCATGGTCCTAGTGTCTTCAACATGGTGCAAACGCGTCATATGATGTGCTTGTACTATGCTTGTTGGGGACAGCTGGGAACTAAGGTGGGACAGGACTTGAAAATCAGGACTGTCCCACCAAAATCAAAATGTGCCTAATTGGACATCTTACAAAGGGCACTCTAAGCATCACAACCACTATGGCACACAGTATCTTTTCTGGCGTCAGGAGACCCTTAATACCATCATTTTCAAATGGCGCCAGAGATCTCTTGGCACCATAAGAAGTGAAGTGTGCTGTACTGGTTATGGCGCACAGGAGCACTCCATGCACCATAACCCCCACTGCATGCTGCCATTTTAGAACAGTTAGACTTCTTACCTGAGGCCAGACGGGGGTGCAGGGCTTACCCATTGGCTAAGAGTGATCAGGTGATAATCTCAGTCAATGAGCTATATCTCTGAACATCAGGCCTGAGCTGCGTAAGCCAACAGAAGGTCCTGTTTAGGAACCTCTGGCTGAAGTAGTGCACGCGGGAACATCGCTGGGCAAACCCCAGGTAAAAAGTCAAAACTGTTTTAAAAACATGTATGTGGCACTGCAGTGGTTATGGTGCTCGGAGTGTTCCTATGAGTGTTCCAATATTTCCAAGTTAAGTACTTTTGCAGCTATTTTTGTGTAAGTTATTACAATTCCCCAGGCGTTTCTCCTGGTTTAATAACTAATCCCCCTGGTTCCCAGTAACAGATGAACGTGTTGATAATCAGATATATGTCTTTAACAACAAGCATTCCATTTGTAATGACAGATACACCTTGGTATTTACGGAAAACTCAGTACGACCAGAACACAGACCTGTTTACCTGATGAGATCACACGTCAGCTCAGACCCCTAAACAGTTATTTTCCATTATTTTCCTGACAGTTAAACATTAACCTACAGCAGTGATGTTTATCTAAAGCATTATGAGATAATTTTGCAATTTTTTATGATACTGCAGATAAGGGAATTAATAATATATAAATAAATATATCTGGAAAAACACTGAGACAAGGACACCCATCCTGGACTGCACGCAACCCAAACTCAATCATTTGCACTAGGTCTTATTGGAAATAAATAAATTATATATAATATAGAACAGCAATTTAATATAAGGCCCGCTGATCAGGAATATAAACAAAATGTCAATTTTACACAATATTGTTTTTTTTCTTAAATTCGATTCTCCTTTATAGAAATATTGGGGGGATATAAAGTGTTAGAGATTATATGGTATCGTTTCCCTTGACATATTTTTAAAATGTCAAGGTCCGAAATGTTCTCATAGAGACAGAAGCAGACTTTGTCAAACACAGTAAGTGTGCCAAACATGGATACGTAAAAAAGCTCTTTTTAATTGTATTTGCTAGGGACCTGATGACATCTCTGTGAATGTAACTTTCTAAAAATGCCCTCAGATTGTAAATATGACCAAGTGTGTATATGCCATAATTTCCAAATACAGTAAGAATAATTACACAATCTGTACTATTCAGAGTTGTTATAAAAATCCTTCCCATTATCCCTGTAGTCAGCACCCTTCCTTCGTGGTTCTTAGAATTCAGCCATGAAGTTTGACCTACAAAAGTTTATGTTGAAGGTATTTACAGTCCCTCTGCAGAGAAATGTATTTCTCGGTACGCTAAAAAAACGGTCCTGGAGCAAAAGATAATTGAGCCCCTTATAGGCTAAATGTAATTTTGTTCTGGCAAAGTAAGTGGAATGTTAGCATAGGTATGTAAGTTGCGAGAATGAATGGGTTAACTCTGATAAACAATTGTTCGTGGTTATCTTTGTCCCGCACAGCCAATAAAGCATAGCTGCATTTCGCCTTAAAAGATTTTACTGCTTGTGTGAGTCGAGTGATTAACTGTTTCCTTGTTGTATCACTGATATTGAATATCAAGCAAGATTATTGGATGGAGCTCCTGGGCATAAAATAAGGGCTCTCTGACTGGGTCCAACACTCACCCAATAGCTTGTACTATGTTTGTATCAAATATGTCGCTGGAATCACAAAATCAAATAACCCACTATGTAAAGATATACCCTTGCAGGCCTGTTAGTAACAGATTTATAATGTAGAGTGAAGCAGAACACATGCTACCGAGCTACTTCCATAGACAAGAGCCAAACTGCTAAGTTACTTCCATAGACAAGGGCCAACCTGCTGAGCTACTTCCATAGACAAGGGCCAAACTGCAGAGCTACTTCTATAGACAAGGGCCAAACTGCTAAGCTACTTCCATAGACAAGGACAAAACTGCCGAGCTACTTCCATAGACAAGGACCAACCTGCTGAGCTACTTCCATAGACAAGGGCCAAACTGCCGAGCTACTTCCATAGACAAGGACCAACCTGCCGAGCTACTTCCATAGATAAGGGCCAAACTGCCGAGCTACTTCCATAGACAAGTGCCATACGGCAGGGCTACTTCCATAGAAATTGCCAAACTGCCGAGCTATTTCCACAGACAAGGACCAAACCGCCGAGCTACTTACATAGACAAGGACCAACCTGCTGAGCTACTTCCATAGACAAGGGCCAAACTGCCGAGCTACTTCCATAGACAAGGACCAACCTGCCGAGCTACTTCCATAGACAAGGGCCAAACTGCCGAGCTACTTCCATAGACAAGTGCCATACGGCAGGGCTACTTCCATAGAAATTGCCAAACTGCCGAGCTATTTCCATAGACAAGGACCAAACCGCCGAGCTACTTACATAGACAAGGACCAACCTGCTGAGCTACTTCCATAGACAAGGGCCAAACTGCGGAGCTACTTCCATAGACAAGGACCAACCTGCCGAGCTACTTCCATAGATAAGGGCCAAACTGCCGAGCTACTTCCATAGACAAGGGCCAAACTGCCGAGCTACTTCCATAGACAATAGCCAAACTGCCGAGCTACTTCCATAGAAAGGGCCAAACTGCCGAGCTACTTCCATAGACAAGGACCAAACTGCCAAGCTACTTCTATAGGCAAGGGCCAAACTGCCAAGCTACTTCCATAGACAAGGGCCAAACTGCCAAGCTACTTCCATAGACAAGGACCAACCTGCTGAGCTACTTCCATAGACAAGGGCCAAACTGCTGAGCTACTTCCATAGACAAGGGCCAAACTGCTGAGCTACTTCCATAGACAAGAGCCAAACTGCTAAGCTACTTCTTAAATAACCCACTATGTAAAGATATACCCTTGCAGGCCTGTTAGTAACAGATTTATAATGTAGAGTGAAGCAGAACACATACTGCTGAGCTACTTCCATAGACAAGAGCCAAACTGCCGAGCTACTTCCATAGACAAGTGCCATACGGCAGGGCTACTTCCATAGAAATTGCCAAACTGCCGAGCTATTTCCATAGCAAAGAGCCATACAGCAGAGCTGTTTCCATAGCAGCGTGCTATACTGCAGAGCATTTGATACTGACAGGTCCTTGCAGTATCCGACCTATACCAAGCCACTGAAGTACCTGTCTTACAGTACTCTTAGTAATTATCTTGCAGTATCCCTCCTGCTATAACACTTCATTGCAGACAGTGGGGAAAATACTACCCATCCACAAACTATTTTTAGAATCCTTTTTTTCCGCTTGTTTTTCTCAAATTTCTATCAAGTTTGTGATCTCACCTCCTCCTCTCTCAGCATTTCCTCCTTCCTTTCCTTTCTGAACGTTACCTCCCGCCTGCATCATTTCTTCCACATTTGGTCACCGATAACCAATAGGTTCACCTCTCCAACAATGAGGGTGTGTAAGGCAGAGGTGCACGCGGGGTTACTGGGTGTTGCCACGGCAAAATGTATGTATTACAACAGCACATATCGGTGATTATCTAACTGCGGGTCCATCACTTTTTGTCCTGAGACCCAGCAGTACTGACAGCAAGAACATTACAGCAAGAATCATCCAAAAGACGATAGTTTGACAGCAAATTATGGAAATGATGATGAAAGTAGGGGTGCCCAAAAGGTAGATCCCCAGATGTTTTAAAACTACAGCTTCCATGATGCTTTGTCATTCTAAAGGCATGCAAAGCATCATGGGAGTTGTAGTTCTAAAACATCTGGGGATCCACCTATTGGACAAACCTGTTTTAAAGGGTCCTTGTTTGTTCACAGGTTTCATTGTTTAGCGGGGGTGGGCGATATTTACTAAGCCAGGCTCAGATCTCCATAGCTTTGCTCATTTATTGCTCTCTTATGCCTGATTGCTCAGCTAACACATATTAACCTGTTGCTCTCTCCTTAACCAGCGTAAATATTTCTGCATCAGCAATACTGGCATTGCGACATAGAAACTAATCTAAATGGTATATTGCAGGGTTGTCAAACCTTGGCCCTCCAGCTCTGCACAGACTACCCTTCCCAGCTTTCTGTGCCAGCCAGAGTCATTGAGTTTAATCGCAAAGCCAATTATTCAATTGGTGGCTTCTGAGAATAGTTTGCAATTAAACCAAAACCATGCACAAGACAAAGTAACAGACGGCTTTCCAAAATAATGTGGGTTAAAAAAAATCCCTGCAAAAAATGTTAGGGTTACACAAGGATTTAGCAATCAGGCTATAACACTCCTTATATAGAAAGGAGAATCGAAGTGAGAGGCGACAGTCAGAATATAAATTTATAGACATTCCGCCGCCCGACACCCCCCCCCACCACCACCACCTTCTCCTCAACACGGCAACATACAGCTGTGCCCATGCTAACAACAAAATCTGATTTACAGCACGCGTAGCGTATTGACAGACAACTGGCAAAGCAAAGGCACTCAAAGCCAGCAGAACACTGACAGTCGGCTACTCCACCTAGTGGTAAATTCTAGACACAGCACTAGACTCACAAAAGAGTGAGACGCTTAATAGCTAAAATAATGGTTATGTATTAAAGGATCACTATAAGCACCCAGACCACTTCAACTCAATGAAGTGGTCTGGGTGCCAGGTCCCCCTAGATTTAACCCTGCATCTGAAAACATTGCAGGGTTAATCCAGCCTCTAGTGGCTGTCTCCCTGACAGCCACTAGAGGCGCTTCCATGATTTACACTGAGTAAATCGCACTTATTTGACGCTGGACGTCCACACGGACCTCCAGCGTCCAAAAAGATCCCCATAGAAAAGCATTGAGTAAACAAAAAGCGAAAAAAGGGGAGAATATCTATAATAAGATAGGTTCCAAAGAAAAAAAATCTGGTGACTGATTTACTTGAGTTGTTAGCTTGTAATAATGGTTAAACAGGGTAACACATCTACAAGTAGTTGTTTAGTAGTTAAACGTTCCTTTCTTGGTATAGGCTTCACTGCAGTATAGCATGGTACCAAAACTACTTCGGTACATTCCCTGTGATTGATAGTGTTATGAAATCACATTACCCTTAGTACAGTTAGCCTGATCTGTCTCATAAATGTTGTCTGGTAAATGTAACAGAGTACTAAATATAAAGTAGCAAGTGAACACACTTGCTGTGATTGATACAATTGTATCACTAACAAGGATAGTTAGTGAGTCTTCCTTTTTGTAACTTATAAATATTATACAGAGGCTATGGTTTGATTACCTGCTATTGATTGAGGGGACAAGTATGATGCTTAGTGATATCAGATTAAATTAGGAAGTGACTACGTAGGGGGGTGAAGAGGGGTAAAAAGCTAAATGTTTGTTGTAATAGGGGTCGGATTTGGAGCTTGCCTTAGCGTGTATCTACAGCTCCAAACCCAACTTCATGATCTCAGAAATAGACAGAAAATCAAACCTGAACAGGTAGACTAAAATGCTATACTCCCCTACAGCTCCAGGTAACTCGCAATCATGTGACGTCGTCGTTAATCTCCTGGAACAGATTTCTGAGCAACAGCATCACTGTTTGAAATGCTGGGAGGCATTTTGTGTTTTCGGCTGTCTCATTACCCACGTTTCTGGGTTAGGGTTAATCACTACATTGGGAATTGCAGGAAACTAGGCACGAGTTGCAAATTTTAAGCCCGAACCGTCAAATTGGAAAATTTCTCCAACTAAGTAATTTTTCCCAGATCATTTGCTACTTTAGTCTAAATTTTGCAATTTTTTGGGTCAGTTCCCGGTTTACTCCAGTTCTGATATATGTAAGTAACTGTGGGCTCCCTAATAACGTAAAAATATTAGAATGCACAAATCAGTTTCATCTTTATTGTGCCTTTAAACTGATCTCCCCCAACATGTGACTTTTCCAAGCCTAAAAACCCTATAGGGACACTATAGTCACCAGAATAACTACAGCTTAATTATTTGTTCTCGTGAGTATAATCATTGCCTTCAGGCATTTGCATGCAAACACTGCCTTTTCACAGAAAACACTCCTCTCCGACACTACCGGACCACTGGGATCGAAGTGCACACCAGTGCAGGAGGCTTGCGAGGCATTGGCTGATGGACTTGATAAAGGGGCATCCACACAGACTCTGGGACACGGACACACACTACACACGCTCCTACAGGTCCATCACACATACCTCGGCGGGTCTACAACTGTGTACAGGCTTGCCTCACGCAACTATAACCACCAGGCCTCAACAACTAGACATACACCCGCTACTCCAGAGATCAGTGGGGTATTACTCTTACGGTACACATATGACTCCAACACGAGATAATATGTATCTGGACCCTTAGTCTTAAAATCAGTTTACGTGTTCAATTACCACTTGTCATGATCCTCTCCAATGTCAGTATGTACGCTGTTGTGGCGTTTGATATTGCCTTGTACTTACCTGCACAACAAAATTAAAAAAAAATGTATAAAAAATATAAAAGGGATCTTCCCAAGATTTTTTTTAAATTAATGTTTACTAATCCCGGTA